GGCATGACTAAATACCGAAGGCGCACGGAACCCTGTTACCTTCCCACCAAAGGTGGTTCCTTTTTTCTACTTGCATTTTTACATGCTTTCGGAGTGCTAGGTTGGCAGAAGCTGGGACAAGTAACAGGAGCTCAGTCCATTACGTGGCACTGGGGATTCAAACCACCGAACTGCTGCCCTTTCTAATCAACAAGCTCAGCATCTTAGCCACTGAGCCACCATGTCCCTTTAATGTTATGTTATGTTATGCTATGCCATGCCATGCCATGATAAATTGTCTTTGGTTGACAAATTGAGGGTCATTGTGAAAAAGCAAAGTAAATACAAGAAGCCTGAACTCTGCCTACTGCTGATGTAACAAAAAATATTTTCTTTTTACCTGGAAGTGGTGAAAACAGCATACAACAATGGGTTACGCTTATCCTTGGTTGGCAACAAGAAGACATCACCTGAGTTAAACAAGAAGGGATCATTAGCCTGCAGCTCGGCACCTACAAATCACTTCTATCCAAAAGAGAGTATGACTTTCTTTCAACCCAGACATCAAAACATTCACCAAGGAAGGGTAAATCAAGCCCCCATCCCTGTTCATCTTGCTTCTAGAAGACCCTAAACCAGCTTTTATAGCAATAGCAATAGTTAGACTTATATGCTTTTGCTAGTCTAGGAACCACTGCATCTATTTGACAATAAATAAATAAAAATAAATCTCACAATCCCCAGCCATCACAGCCTAACTTCATGTTGCCCAGAGAAAATGGGATAATATAGTCCAACTACTTGAAGAACTGTAGAAAGCTGGACTAAATCCATTAAAAAAAGAAGTTGCCAATTCTGTAAGAAGACAAGCACACCAGATGGCAATATCTGAAAATTGAAATTATGTGGTCTCACTGTTATAATTCTGAGGATACGGAGAACGTTAAATTGTATTAACATCCAGAAAAGCCAGATTGCAAATGGACATTTTTAAAGGGAAATATGTTGCTTTATTAAACTCTGGGAGAAAACCTTTCTGCTTTTCAAAATATAATTGTTAACTTGTAAAGAATATTTCTTTTCATTCTAAAGTGGTAATATGATTGGAACTATAATAATGCTGATGGTAATAAGTTAAAAAAAGTCAAATCATTTACTGGAAGTTTTCTTACCATTATTCATTATTATAATTCCAATCACATTAGGACATCTGAACTAAAAAGAAAAAATGTACAATCATGCACATATTTCTATTCTACAGACTATATAGTCCAGTGTTTCTCAACCTTGGCAACTTGAAGATGTCTGGACTTCAACTCCCAGAATTCCCCAGCCAGCAAATGCTGGCGGGGGAGTTCTGGGAGTTGAAGTCCAGACATCTTCAAGTTGCCAAGGTTGAGAAACACTGATATAGTCAGATGTGAGAGGAGAGATGATCACCACCAAGGAACAAGGACACAATCTGAATTCAGCTTTAACTTACTATTTTGACTCTGATAAGACCTACTCTAAGGTCAAGAATTCAAAAAAAATAAAGAAACATAAAAATAAATTAAGAAACTTTCAAGAATTGCTCAGTTGCAGCAGAAAAGAGAAGGGAAAAATGATTTCAATGAGGGACTTATTGAGTCCTTATAAGAGTGTGAGATAGATGCATTATTCCTTCAGTCAGCTTCATTCCAAGCTCATTTCTGCTGCTTGATAGTTTGAAAACCTTTCCCTCATTTAGAACCATTCCAACCCTGCACCACGGGTAGTCACTCACGAAGGTGGTCAAAATGGGTGTCACTCCCATCACTGCAGGGTACTGCACACACCAGCCGAGCCTTCAGGAATGTTGTCCATTTGTTCACCAGGCTTCTCTGCCCACCCATATCATTCTAAAGGGAGAAGAAGGGACTTATCAAAAAAGCTGGCTGGAAAGCAGAGAGAATGATGCACACAGAGGCCAGCTGATTCAGGGATCATCAAGGAACTCAAAGTTTTTAATGCAAATGGGCTCAGTTGGACATAGAATTTAATGCAGATCTAAAAATGGGGGTGAGAGGTTGTCCCGAAGGTGCCTTTATCCAAAAGGCAACTGGGTCTTTTTTTTTTTCTTACAGAATGGTTTACTTTTCATCCAAGAAACTTCTTCAGTTCTTCAGAAGCTTCTTGGAAGAGATGCGAAACGTTTTCTAAGAAACAAAAACCCAAGGAAGTCCAGTTGCCTTTTGGAAAAAAGACAATCACGACTTGGATGCAGTGGTGGGATTCAAATTTTTTTTTACTACTGGTTCTGTGGCTTGGTGGGCATGGCAGGGGAAGGATACTGTAAAATCTCAATTCCCACCCAACTCCAGGGGAAGGTTACTGCAAAATCCCCATTTCCTCCTGATCAGCTGGGACTTGTGAGGCAGAGAATAGATGGGGTGGTGGTGGTGGTGGTAGTCAGAGGTGGTATTTACCGGTTCTCCGAACTACTCAAAATTTCCGCTACTGGTTCTCCAGAACTGGTCAGAACCTGCTGAATACCACCTCTGCCTGGATGATTGAGAATTTCCATGAACCCGGGTGAGAGGTTGGTTCTTACTGTTTTCAAAGCATTGCTGTGCTGGAATCCTTTTTGGATACTTCAACAGCCAGTTGTTGTTGTAGAATTCCTTGTTGCTGTAGAATTCCTTGGAAATTCTTTACTCTAGAGCAGGCATCCTCACCCTTTCAATAAAGCCAGGGCCAACTCCTAGCCATCTATCTTCACCAGACTTTGTCTAACTCCTAGGCCTCCTGACCACCCTCATCTTGGAACTGGAGCCCATACAACAGTCTTACCCGGCAAATTTGCCCAATGCGTGCAAAACTCTGTTTGCCCAGGTCTTGGGATCCTTCCACTGCTGTTTCCCGGAAGAAAAAGAAGATCTTATCATCATCAGGGTTCTCACTCTCTGGGATCCAGAAGACGTCAATGAACTTGGGTTCTTGAGTCAAAGAAATAGAAGAGATTGTTAATTCAGGACAACGCAACACAGGCCATTCTTTTTGGGCTTGCAAAGGGCTGCCTTAGAGAGGGGGTAGTAAAGCAAAATAAGAAACAGGCAATGTTGCAATTTTGCAGGAGATTCTGGTCTTCCTTCTCCTTAAGACGAAATCTTAGCAATGAGATATTTTCCTGTAACATCTATGACAGATCCTTTAATTAAGCATGACATGGGAAGATCACCTTTCCCAAAGATCAGAAGACATGATGTCTCCTTCAGGTTAAGCTCAACTTCTGCTAACGTTATGGATATGTCTATGTGGTTTTTATTGCAGGAATATGATAAATGGCTTATCACTACCTTGGTGGTTTTTTTAGAGCCTGGGGATTCCGTAGCAGTCACCATCCATGTGTGAATCAGATCTGACTCTCCTTCACTTTCAAGGTCAACCAAAGTAAACTAGATCCTGAGACATGGGGAACTAAATCTGAAGGCATTTGTACACAAACTCCATTGTAAGGCCTTCCTGAAACAGGTAAGAGAATTTCATGGGACTGTAATTCTGGGACTGTTCACAGGTGAGGTTAAAAAAAAATAGAGTCAATATTGAGGCTATGGCAGTGTAGCTGAAGTTCCACCTGTTTATTATGTGCTGCACATTAAAAAAAAACAGGCTGCATTATGATTACACTGTCACAGCCAACTTCTTGACTTTTTTGACCAGACCCTAAGGACATTCCCTGCTTGTTTTCATCATTAAATTAAGTTGTTCTCTGTTCTTGAAAAAAAATGAGAAGAAAGCCAACTAGTTGGTCCAGGACATTTAGAAGAGAGGAAAGTAACAGGTTTGCCTTCCCCAATAATTCTCGTTTGATATGTAGTGATTTATAATCCAAGTTTCCTAGCCAGCATAATCATCCAGATTGCTACTTCCCTAAACTTGAAAACAGCAATGTAGAACTGCTGATTAATGAATTAAAATAAACAAAACAGAAAACACACATCCTGCAGAGCATTCTAACTTGCTCTTTGCGTTTGCCCTTCTGAAATCTCAGGCTGTAATAGTGATCACTAGGTGGCAGCTTCCACTCATAAGTTACTAAACAACAAGTGAGCAACTTGACTTGCCACAGGACAGACAAGAGTTGCAATAATGAATTCTGGATTCCCTGATACTTTAAAGAGCATTATTTCTTTCACTCTCTTCCCCCGCCCCCGCCCCCATATTGTTCCATTTCCAGTACTGACTCACTTCCCACACTATAGGTCCAGTTTCAGTTCAGTTTCAGTTTATTTCATTTATAATGAAGTCCCCTTCTCACAAACCCTCCACTGACCGTTGAGCCATCGGGAATCATGCTGCTCGGTGCGGACAGAAGGCCTCGATCCCAGGCTGCGGAAGATGGTGAAGTCTCGGCCCATCAGATCAGTAGCCACACCAGAATAAAGCTCTTCGCCTGCACAGCACAGAAGGAGAGACGTTTCAAAAGCTTTCTGGCTTCCTAATCTCCATTGACACCTGAGAGAGTGTTTCAAATCTTCATTGTGTGGCCCCTGAGAAAGATCTCAAGACATCAGCTGGGGAGAGGGCACTGCTTTAAGGTGAATGAACTACCACCCCAGCAGCTGCGTCTTTGGCGTAGAGCGTCAGCTGATCTCATCTGTTCCCAGGGCAGATGGAGGGAGGAAAGATGAGGGTGTCAAAGGATTCCATGTGAGATCTTATATTGGTCTTGTTATCTTGTCTCACCTGTATTTGGGTGGTAGGTCATTGTTTGGGGGCCTTTCCCTTTACCTGCAAAAACTGAGGCTGCGGTGTGATTTGGGTCATAGGGACTTTTTCCTTTGCCATCCTCCAGGCTCTTGAAGTCCAGCTTAAAGGCAGAGTCCTAGAGAAAGGAGCCAACATGTTCATCAAGAGAAGCTTGGTGTTCCAGTGATTCTCTTGCTTAGGCTTTAGTCTCTGTAACTTTGGCGCAGTGGTTAAAGTGCAGTACTGCAGGCTACTTCTGCTGTTCCCCGGCTGCCAGAAGTTTGGCAGATCGAATCTCACCAGGCTCAAGGTTGACTCAACCATCCATCCTTCTGAGATGGATAAAATGAGGACCCAGATTCCTGGAGAAAATATGCTGACTCTGTAAACTGCTTAGAGAGTGCTGTAAAGCACTGTGAAGCAGTATATAAGTCTAAGTGCTATTGAAGTTACTATGATAGCATGGCAAAAAGTGTGAGAATGACAAAAATAACTGCTCACTGGCAAATATTAATAGTTTGTTTCCTGGCTCTGTGGATAATCAAAGCTCGGCTATTGCTATTGCTGTTTTTACCCCCAGACGCAAGTACACTTTATGAACCTTGGTGTATCACTCACCTCCACACGTTGCCCCACTTCTACAAAGCCACAGATGGGATGAAAAGCCCCAGTGCCACAGGCATACAGGTGTGT